CCTGATAAATTTCATAGCTACAAACACCTTTAAGTACAACAAACTCTGTTTGACTTTGACATCCTACCTTCATCGTTTTCTGCAACCAAGTATTCCTTCACTTTGAAATATCTCCTGCGCGCACTTTGCAGTCTCTCGACAGGTACACCTACTTCTGTCCATTCTACGTTAGCGTCCCCTTTGGCTTTTACATAAACGCTCTTGACTTTGACTTCTTTTGTCAGTCTGAAACTGACTGTACCCACTATAGTATCGCCTTCAGAATAACTGCTGTTGTCACTGATTGTTTCAAAAGTCACATTTAAGTTCTTTATCGGAGACATTTCAGAGCCGAGTGAAATGCAGAGCGTTTTTCTAGGAACTGATAAACTGAAGCAAGATATGACAGGAAGCTCCGCCTAAAGAGTGAGATCGTAATTTATGATTCTACCCAATATCACAACATCTAAATATCATATAAAGAGAAACGTCATATATTTACGCAGTTTAGGGTGATGTGAGAAAAACTACCAGGCCACAAACGATGTTCACAAGAAGAAGATCACATTCACAGCAAATTGGCAGGTTTTTAAAGTATATTCCAGTAAAACCCCGAAACCTATTAAAATATGCTTATGATGTACTGGTAATTGATCGCTAGTCCATCTGTAATGGACTAGCGATCAATCAAAAACTGTATAGAGTATCGCAAATTTCACCCCGTGACAACAGCGATAGGCTCCAACCCCGGGCTAAGAAAATTGAAGGATGCTCTTATAAACTTTTGCATCACCAAAATCACTCGTCAGAGTCAGACTGGGCAAAAGCATTTGCCGTGTGATGCGAGCATTGGGTATCGGTATGATTATTCGGAGATATTCCGTCCCGTTCAGCAGAGAGAGTTTGTTTTGTTTCGTCAGCAATGATTCAAATTCGTCCCATTTGGGTGTTGAAACGAAACCATCGTGTCCTTTGTGCCGAATTGCGCTGAATGCTGTGACGTGGATTGATTTTGGCTCGCCCGTGATTATGCGGAAAAAGACTTGTTTCTAAGAAAGTCTGCATGCAGTTTGGTCTGAACGGTAAAAAAAAAAAAATCAGTCGAAACAATTTAACTCTTCCAGATTGCAGTGTAGATTTTAGTGTAAATTATTTTGTGGACACGCTGGGTTATAATTGTCCGATAGGCCCTTCAGCAATTACCCTGCCTGTTGTGATTGCTTAGTTTATTGTACACATTACAATGATCTCAATAACGTCGTTGTGTCATGGTCCTGAGTTTAGTGTGTGTGTGCGTGTGTTTATTAATTTATATTATTTAATTTAGTGTTATTCGTAGTTTTAGTGCTCCCTACTGATCTGCTACTGTGTGTTATATCCTTAGTTTCTAGTCTTTAGGTTTCTGTTACTGTGCCCCATGTTCACATGTTCGTACATCTCCTATGACCTCCTGTCAGTCATGTGTCCTGGTCTCAGTGTCAAGTCGGTGTCTTAGTCTGTCTCATGTTTCCCGTTTTATTTTGATGGCCTCTCGTCTAGTGTTTAGTCTAATCAGTTTTGCTTCCTCCCTGTCTCGAAAATATTATGGCAACACTGAGAAGGCAAATCATTAAGATGTGTTGTGAGATACAGGTGATGGTGTTTCTGTCTTAGTTCTCTAAGCAGAACTTCAGAAAGCTCAATTCTTCTGGCCAGTTCTTGTCTGAGGTTCAGACTAGGAAGAACGTAACTATAATATTGAACCTGAAATATGATCCCCCCACCCACTAGGGAACCACTCTCAGCTGTGGGTTCACCTTCTCCTGCTGAACTCACAGAGCAGCAAACAACCAGTCCAGAGAAATACCGTAGCATCACTTTCATTGCTCACTCCTCAACTCCTGTGAACCATAACAAGTGTGGCCTCTCTAAACATCAGTAACTAAGAAAACATGTAGGTAAAACAGTAGGTATCCTACTTATTGCTGACTTTATTATTATTA